CAAGGTAGTAGAGGGAGGTTAAATGATCTGCCCTTAGTCACAAAGCATGTAAGCAGCAGTAGTCTGGCTCCAGAGGCCATGCCCTTAAAGAAAGAAGAAGATTTAACACCCATTCATGAAAGGAACTTCCTCGACCTGATAAAGGGTCTCCATGAAAAATCTTTAGCTAACATGATGTCTAATAGAGAAAGACTGAATGCTTTACCCTAAGACTAGGAACAGGGCAAACTCTTACAACTTCTATTCTGCATTGTACTGGAGGACCTAGCCAGTGAAATAAGGCAAGAAAAGTAAATAAAAGGCATAAATAAAAGGAAGAAATGACTGTCTTTATTCTCAGGTGACATGATTGTGTACACACAAAATCCAAAAGAATCTTTAAAAATAAAACTACTAGAACTAATAAGTGAATTTACCAAGGTCCCAGAATACAAGGTCAATATACATAACTCAATTATATTTCTCTATAGTAAGAAAAAACTGGAAATTTTTTAAAATTAAATACCATTTATAATAACATTTAAACAACCATAAAATACTTAGAGATAAATCTAACAAAATATGTACAAGATCTATGTACTGAAAACTATAAAACACTGCCAAGACAAAATAGAAAAGACCTAATAATTGGAGAAAGGTGCCATGCTCATGGATTGGAAGACTCAATGTTATTAAGACGTCAACTTTTTCCAAATTGATCTATAGATTCAACAAAACGAAGATCAAAATCCCAGCAGGACATTTTATAGAAATTAACAATCAGATTCTAAAATTAATCTGGAAATGTAGTTAAAGCTTTTTAGAAAAAAAGAGCAGGCATAATAACCTGCCCAGATTGAAACAGGGGTATAAAGGGCTCTAGGCAAGGGGTCTCCAAGAAAGAAAAAAAAAATTATAGATTTTCTGATGTTTATTACCTTGATTATCTGATGACTGTGAATGTATTGAGGGAGACATTTGAGAGTGATGTAATGAAAAGTACATGGAAAAATCCTATCATTAATTCTAAGGAAAACAAAACTTGGACAAAAAAAGGAAGTGTAAACATTGCACCCAACTGTGAAGTGTTTTTTTATGTAGTCATTTTAGCTAAAACATTGAATGCTGATTTAACCAAAAAAGTGTATTATCCATGCCCTGGAAGAAAGGAAGAGGCAGTATTTGTGTTTGCTTGGACAGGAGTAAAAGCAAGAGAGAGTGTGAGGGAGTGTTAAATCTTCATAAGCCAAGATTGAAAGTCAATAGATGATATCTAAAACTCAGAAAAAAATCTCAAGAGCTAGCAGAATAAGCACGATATTTAGAAATATATAGACCTCTATTGAATGAAACAGCTATATGCGAGTTGAAATTTGTTGCCTTTGGACGTCCCTGGTGGCGCAGTGCTTAAGAATCTGCCTGCCAATGCAGGGGACACGGGTTCGATCCCTGGTCCAGGAAGATCCCACGTGCTGTGGAGCAACTAAGCCCATCATGCGCCATAACTACTGAGCCTGCGCTCTAGAGCCCGCGAGACACAACTACTGAGCCCGCGCACCACATCTACTGAAGCCCACACGCCCATGCTCCTCCACAAGAGAAGCCACTGCAATGAGAAGCCCACACATCGCAACAAAGAGTAGCCCCTGCTCGCTGCAACTAGAGAAAGCCTGCGAGCAGCAACGAAGACCCAACACAGCCAAAAATAAATAAATAAATGTATTGTACAGAAAGAAAGTTGTTGCCTTTGCCTGGGGGAAGTGGGGTCAGGAGGGCTGCTTCTGGTTTTCATTATAAGCTTTATAAAGCTATTTCACTTTTTTAAACAATGTAGGTGAAATACTTTGATAAAAAAGAAAAACAAATTTTAGAAAGTTTGCATTAACATATTCCGCTTATTTTTATTTTTTTTAATTCTTTAATTCATTTCTACCTTCAGGCTTGAAAGAAGAATCCTGAGTTTAAAAACAGAATACCAGGATAGATAAAAACAGTCATGGTGAGGGCTCAGCTGTTAGCCACTTGTGGCTTTCTGGGTCGCACCCAGAGATCTTTGGCCTCTCCAACCTCTGCGTAGAAATAGCGAAGGCTGTACAGGCATAAACCCCCTCGTTTCACTGTGCTTCCGTTTTTTGCTCTTCACAGATACTGCGTTTTTCACAAATTGAAGGTTGGTGGCAACCCTTACCCAGAGCAAGTCTATTGGTGCCATTTTTCCAACAGCATTTGCCCACTAGTGATCTTTGCTGTTACTGTTGCAAAAAGATGATGACCCACTGAAGGCTCGGATGATGGTTTGCATTTTTTAGCAATAAAGTATTTTTAATTAAGATATGTACATTTTTTAGACATAATGCGATTCCACGGTTGATAGACCACAGTATAAACATAACTTTTATATGCACTGGGAAACCAAAAAAAAACAAAATTCAGGTGATTCACTTCATTTCTATATTCGCTTTATTGTGGTGGTCTGGAACCAAACTTGTAATATCTCCAAGTTATGCCTGAACTCTTCATTATTTCTTGGTTCATGGTTATCTCTTGGAATACATCTCTGGGAAGACCCTTAGACCAAAGAGGAGACGGTCGATTTATTTCATCTGCATCTATGAGTCTTTTCAGCCGCTGGAAGACCCTAATTAAAATGCAAGTTGCTGGGAAAGGAGCAATCTTAAACCCCTATGGAATAAAATACAGATTATCAATTAATATTTTTGCTGGAACCACTAAGGATAGGCCACTTGATAGGGAGGCAAGGGGTGGTGAGGAGGCTGTGGTTGGTAAGAAGGGGAACAGTGTAGGCGGAAATAGTATAATTCAATGTTATTACTTAGAGGCTGGAACATTTTAACCAAGCCCACAAAACAAATTTTCAAAATTTGAAATCAGCAAGCATTGGGACTTCCCTGGCGGTCCAGTGGTTAAGACTCCGCGCTTCCACTGCAGCAGGTGTGGGTTTCTATCCCTGGTTGGGGAACTAAGATCCTGCATACCTCATGGTACAGCCAAAATATAAAAACAATAATTTTAAAATAATTTTAAAAATCAGCAAACATTGTGCAAAACATACCGTCACATCCCAATCCCTGTCCCCTGTATAATCCTTGATGTTTACCCCATCCCTAACCCCAGTTCCATCCCTGACCCTCGGGAGGACTCTCTGACCACCCCCCACTCCTCTCCTAAGGTGCACCCCACCCCTGATCCCAGCCCCATCCTGGACATGGAGCTCCTCCCCAAGGTGAACCATCTCCCAAACCTTGACCAGATGTCTAATCCTTACCCTATCTAGTGATCGGAACACGAGTTTCTGATATTTTCATATACTGTGTTACTTCAGTACCTACATCTTGGCATTCTTACAGATCTGAAATCCAAATCATTGAGCTATACCCAGAGAATTACACACTGCATTAAAAAATCTAACTGAACAATGTTGCATTTGTTTGAAGAGAGTTCTGACTACATCCCTGACCTGTTTCAAACATTTCCAAGTTATTTATTGCTGTTTGATTCCCACTTCACAGGTTACTAGTGAGGCCAAGCATCTTTTCAGATGTGTATTAGTCATTTGTATTTTCCCAGACCCGATATGGATCCTTATTTACTTACTGAAACCCCTGATGGAGTTGTCTTTAGGGCAGCAGAGGATGAAGGGAGGTGAGCACTGAGTCACACAGTAGGAGAGATGGAGAGGGGATTAAGGGAAGGAGGGAGAGGAAAGGGAAGCCCCCATTGAATAGTCTTGGCACCCTTGTTTAAAGTTATATGACCAGGGACTTCTCTGGTGGCGCAGTGGTTAAGAATCTGCCTGCCAATGCAGGGGACACGGGCTCGAGCCCTGGTCCAGGTAGATCCCACATGCTGCAGAGCAACTAAGCCCAAGCACCACAACTACTGAGCCAGCACTCTAGAGTCCATGAGTCAAAACTACCGAGCCCATGTGCCACAACTACTGAAGCCCGAGTGCCTAGAGCCCATGCTCCACAACGAGTGAAGCCACTGCAGTGAGAAGCCCGCGCACCACAATGAAGAGTAGCCCCCGCTCGCCGCAACTAGAGAAAAGCCCACGCACAGCAACGAAGACCAAACGCAGCCAAACAAATTTTTAAATAAATAAATAAAGTCATTTGACCATTTATGGTTTATTCTGGGCTCTTTATTCTCAGGTCCTTTTTATGCTTTGGCTCCACCAGCCTAAGTGTGTTGGGCACACTTTTTGCCTCATTGTCACAAAGTGACTGGCTCATCTCTACACATCATATCCTATAACCGTATTCACAGGCAAGAATCAAGGATATGTATGTGTGTGTGTGTCTTTTAAATCAGGAATATATCCCAGGAGTCCCCTGGTCCCAGTAGACTTCCTCTTAAGCAAGAGTGCACTGAAGCCAGTTTGTGAAAGCAGATTATTACACTATCTAGATTTTGTGAGCTTGTTGCTAAACACCACCACCCTTGAAATCGGCCATGGTAAGAGCATTTAGTTACACCACAGAACATTAAGACTTTCTCCTAGGAAAGTGGTTTACCAGCACACTATTGCCTTTGAGTCTTATTAATCAGAACCAAATGATATGGCCACTCCTAGTTTAAGGGAGTCTTAGAAAGTGAGTATCTGTCATTTTCAGCCTCTCTCAAGGGAGGTGGACTTCGTTAGCCGGCAATGAAAGGCAGAGTTGGGGAAGCAACCAATGGTGTTTGACACTAATGCCTCCCAATGGTGGGAACTCTTTGTAATCACTTAAAAGAGTATCTTCAAAGAATGTCTGCCAGAAGACAGAGTGCTGTGGTCTCAGTGGTAGGATGGACTGAGCTCTAGCAGTTGACCTGGTAATTACGATAAGAGGTGGGGGCCAGGGCTTTCGAATCCATGGCTGGGGGCCTAGTAAGGATGTGGCCTCAGCAACTTCCTGTAACCACAATGGGGGGCTGGCTTGACACAGGGCTGTGAGCAGCCAGAGGACACGCGGCTTGGGGCGGATGCTGAAGGGAAGGGAGGAGCCCTGCGTGCGGTCTCAGAGGGTAGTAGAGGTGTTCCCTGAAGAAGAGCCGACGAAGGAAGGCCTGCTGTCCTTGACCAAGAACTCCTTGCTGACCAGGCCGTGGATGGCCATGATCCTGAGGAGTCCGTGGCGAAACTTCTGGCCAATGAAGACGTAGATGAGAGGATTGAGGCAGCTGTGGAGGAAGCCCAGGATCTCGGTGGCATCCAGGGCCCGGCCGATGTCATTGCGGCGCTCACAGGTCTCCGCGATCACCCGGACCCTCATCAGGGTGTCTGCAACCAGGACCAGGTTGTAGGGCAGCCAGCAGAGCAGGAAGACGAGCACGACAGCAAAGATGACCCGCATGGCCCGGTGCTTCTGCCCCATGTGGGCTGCAAAGAGCGTGCGCAGGGTGAGTCCGTAGCAGATGAGCATGACCAGCAGGGGCAGGAGGAAGCCAAAAGACTGGGGCAGGACCCGCATCACCATCCGCCACTTCGTTGTATTGGCACCCATGTCCTCGTAGCAGACTGGGCTGGAATAGGGTGGTTGATAAGCCTCACGGAAGACGAAGATGGGCAGGGCCAGGATCAAGGACAGGACCCAGATGCCTAAACATATGAACCTGACCCAGTGCCGCTTCTGGGTGAGCGTGCGTGTGGCATGGACAATGGCCAGGTAGCGGTCCACGCTGATGCAGGCCAGCAGTAGGATACCACTGTAGAAGTTGACTTCCTTCAGGAGTGAGACCACCTTGCACAGGGCTGTGCCAAAGATCCAGCCCTTTGCCTTGGAGGTGGCCCAGATAGGCAAGGTCAGGGCAAAGAGCAGGTCAGCCATGGCCAGGTTCAGC